ACTATTATATTTAACTAAAATTTCATCTTTTGTTAAATTTTGTTCTTCAATATCTTTAGTTAATTCTTTCTATTTTTTTGTATGTTGATTTTTTCCTTTAATATTTTTTGTTTTTGCAATTTCACCAAATTCATAAGAACAAGAATTTTCTATATCATTACATCGAGCAGGTAATCGATATTGCCAACAATTCTCATTACAATAGTTGCAAGCTGAGTAATCATAACGATCAAATAGATTACATTTACAAGATGTAGTTTTACTATTATGATGTAGAAAGCATCTATTAAAATCTTTTTCTACATAGTCAAGAGCTTCTTGAATTGTTCCATTATTATAATCTAAATGCATAGTATTGTTTTTAAATAATCCTTTTATTCCAGATAGTATTTCTTTTCATGCAATTTTACTAACACCTTTTTTAGTTTTATATTTTTCATTTTCTTTTATATATCTTCTAATTCTTTCTTGTTTTGTTAATATGCAAAATCCTTGTATATGTTTGTTGATTATCTTAACATCATGATTAGAATCGTATTTTCCTTCATTGATTAAAATTTTAAGCTCATCGATATTATAGTTATTTTCAAATTGATATTTGATTTTTTGTATGCTATTTGATTTTGAATAATAACTTTTTGGAATTAATTCATTAAATTCTTCTAGATTTTTAAATATTGTAAACATAAATCTCCTAAAATAAATTTGCTTTTCATCATCATCTTCATTATGTTGTTTAGTTTTTAGTTTAGATATTTTGAAAATAATAAAACTAAATTTATATAAATAAAATTCTACTTAGTATAATTATACTAAATAGATATATCTTTATTAAAATTGATATTTGTAATATGAATATATGAATTAATATAATATTTAATATAAGTTTTAGCATGAAAGATACTAATAATAGGATGATATTTATCAATATTAAAGAATTTTATATTCTTAACATGATAAATTTTATCAAGTTTTAAATATGCGTATATATTTTCATTAATAGTAATAATGATATATTCTTTAATTTTCTTCTTTTTCTTATCAAATAGTTCTTGAAGATGATTCAAAATGTATTGTTGTTTTAATTCACAATTGCAATAAACAATATGATAGTATTGACCTTGAAACATCTTTAAGAAACAATAAATAATTAATTTATAATAAATTATTAAAACAAAAAGCAATAATTTCCTTATATTTTTTGTAAAAGCTAGTTGAAGACAATGCTTAATGAATACTGACTCCATGAGTATTACATTCAGTGAATTCGTTATGAATTCTGAAATTCAAGAAAGGTGAAATTCAAGTCTTATATAGTTTTTTTTAATTAGAAAATTTGTAGATCATAAATACTAAAAATTTTTATAAAATTTATATGTTTCGCAGCTTGGTTAATGATCAATCATATATGTGTAACTGTAGAAAATACATAAATGTCTAACTAATTTATATTGTATTCTGTTTTAATATTGTATTATAAAACGATTTACAAATTTTATTTTTTTACAAATTTTTTATCAATAAAAAATCAATTTCGGAGCCAATTCTCACTAGCAAATCTGCAAAATGCTACTAACAAAAGTTGAAGCTGATGTTATTTTGCATTAGAATCTCTGTTTTCAGCTTAAACGGATTTGTTATTGTAAAGTAATAATGGTTTTTCTCTTAAAAATATAATATAAATTTTTTTTTAAGATATACAACAACTTTGAACGAAGAATTCTCAAGCTTCTTCAAATGAAACATCAAAAATAGTATTAAGTAAAGTTATTCACATAGTATTCATCTGTTTGTATTTCAAGTTTTAGAAGGATTGATTTGAAATTAATAGAGATATGACGATTTTACATTTGTATATTTTTTTGTATTTGACGTTCTTGATAAAAAATTTACTATTCACTC